ATTTAGAGCTTATAAACGATAACACAACGACAACTATAATTGAAATTAAATATGCTTTAAATGTAAATGTATCAATTAAAACTGTCTGGAGATGGGTGACCAATCTTGGATACACATAAAATTACTCAACCAATTTATGAAAGAAGAAACGACAATGATGTAAAAAATCTTCGTATTGAATATGTTAGGTAGTATACTTCAATCTCGCCTATTAATTGCTATTGAAATATTGTTTTTATTGATGAAAGTTCATTTAATTTACACGTGTTTCGCAGTCATTCATGGGCAAGAAGAGGAGTAGCACCAAACCCGATCATTCACCCTAGGCAACGTAACGTTTCGATGATATTGGCCGTCAATGGTTTAAATATTACTCACTGCGTGAGTGTGTCAGTCAACACAGTTTTGTTTCAAGAAAATATTGATGAAGTTTCAAGAATATATTGATGAAGTTTTGGGGACAGAGGAAGAATTCACCCTGGTGATGGATAATGTCAGAATCCATCATAATGTTAAGATGCTCAGAACATTCAAATAAAGTATTTGCCACCATATTCACCATTCTTGAATCCGTGTGAAGAGATTTTTTTTTTATCTTAAGAATAACGTGCGAAGAAATACGGCCCCAGCTGGAAGAAATGAACTAATTTCAAGAATGCGTGAGGCATGCTTATCTATTCCTAATGTTAACTTATCAAACTATTACACACACTGCGAAAGCTTTTTTGAAGCGTCTCTTAGGTCAGATGACATACCTTGACAGTAATTGGAAAATAAACATTATATTTTAAATAAAATAAAATTTTAAATTTTTTTAAAAAATCGAATAAAAATAATATAAAGAAAACCTTTTTTTTAAAATAATATATAATGTTGAGATTGCGCATGCGTTAAATGTTTTAAATGAAAATCACGATTGTTTTAATTGAAAATCACATTGTTTTAATTGATTGTCGCGGTGTTTTAAATGAATGTCATGGTTGTTTTAAATGGTTGTTTTAAATGGTTGTCATGATTGTTTTAAATGGGTGTAAAAACCGGTATATTAATTTTTCTCTTAAAAATGGAGGCCAATTTTTCACTTAATTTAAATGATGAGAATGCTAGTGATGATAACTATTTTAATGGAAAAAATTTAGAAGGCGAGTATTATTCAGTTTCTGAATCTACTCAATATCTCTGTCAGAACAAAAATACATTTTCTATTTTAAATGTAAACATTCGAAGTATTAACAAAAATTTTGAAAATCTCAAACTTTTACTGCATCAACTAAACCACGAATTTAAAATAATTTGTATCATAGAAACTCGGCTTAAAACCAACGAAAGAAATTCAAACATTGAGTTAGGTAATTATGTATCAGTTCAACAACCACGTTTTAACTATGCTGGTGGTGGTATAATTATTTTTGTCAAATCAATTAGCTTTATTCTAGGTCCTGACCTCAATATTAATGAAATTGATTGTGAGTCATTGTGCATAGCAAAACCACCAAAAATATTGTAATTAATTCTATTTATAGACAACCAGCTGGTAATTTAAGAAAATTTAAAACTTATTTAAGCAGTTTTTTAACCAAAACTAGCATAACACTGAAACATGTTTACTTAGCTGGTGATTTTAACTTAAATTTACTAAATTTTGCTTTAAATACAAATGTTCAACATTTTCTAGATACTCTTATAGAATATAACCTAATACCAAAAATAAATAAGTCAACGAGAATAACTAAGACCTCATCGTCACTACTTGATAATATAATTACTAACAATTTTCAAAACTGCCGTTTAGGAACAGGCATAATTAAAACTGATTTAACTGATCATTTTCCAATATTCTTAATTACTGATAACATAACCCTAAATAATGTCCCTTCAAACACTACAATCTTAACACGACAGATCAATGAAAACTCCTTATTGTATTTTCGAACTCTTTTAACAAAAAATATCGATTTGAATATTATTTTACAATCCCATGAAGTCAATACTGCATATGAGCTATTTTTAGCGCAGTTCTTTAAACAGTATGACATAGCATTTCCTGTTAAAAAAATTGTAATAAAATCCAAGTCTCTTTTAAACCCCTGGATGACCAAGGAATTAATAAAATCATCAAAAAAAAAAAAAAACTTTATGATAAATATTTAAGACATAAAAATATATAAATATGAAATAAACTACAAAAACTATAAAAACTTATTTAAAAAAAACAAAAAACACTCAAAAAAAAAAAACAAAGTTGTTGAAAAAAACTAACGGCGACGTGGAATATAATTAAACAAATAATTGGTAAAAATAAATGTGAAAAAAATAATCTCCCACAAAAGCTTTTAATTGATAAGGAAATGATTTACGATAAAAAAAATAGCTAATGAACTCAACCCATTTTTTCTCGAAGTAGGGCCGAACTTGGCAAGTAAAATTCCGTCAAGTACCACAAAGTTTGAATCTTACATTAAATCATGTAATTCTATTATGGAAGAATCTAATTTAAATCTAAGCAAAATAAGGAATGCTTTCAACAGTCTTAAAAGTAATAAAAGTGCGGGCATTGACAAAATTAGTGTGAATGTTGTTAACTCAATCTTCAATATCATTGAACCGTCATTATTTCATATTTTTGATCTTTCATTAAAGCTAGGTGATGTGCCGAAAAAACTTAAAATTGCCATAATCACCATTTTTAATTCTGGTGACGAAACTAATATTAACAACTACAGACCTATTTCCGTTTTACTTCTCAAAATTATTGGAACGAATTATGCACAACAGACTTTACAACTATTTGATGTTAAACAGTTTGCTGTACAGTAAACAATTTGGATTTCAAAAAGATAGTTCAACAAACCATGCTATAATCGAACTAGTTAATCATGTATCGGATGCATTCAATAATGACTATTTTACTCTTGGAGTTTTTATTGATCTGTCGAAAGCCTTTGACACTGTTAACCATAAGATACTCATAAAAAAACTAGAACTCTATGGAGTAAAGAATAAAAATTTACTTTGGTTTAAAGACTACCTAGCGAACAGGTCACAATGTATTATTTATAATAAAAAAGAAAAAGAAAAACATATTACATGTGGTGTGCCCCAAGGTTCAATCTTAAGGCCATTATTATTTTTATTGTATATAAATGATTTATACTTAGCATCAAATATTTTAAATGTTATATTGTTTGCAGATGACTCCAACATTTTTTATTCCAACAAAGATATAAAAGCTCTCTTTAATATATTTAATGAAGAACTATTCAAAATAAACGATTGGTTTACAAGCAATAGGCTTTCGTTAAATGTAGAAAAAGCTAAATTTATTTTATTTTCCAAACCTAGTTAAGGTGATGATGTTCCTCTAAAATTACCCAATCTCCTAATCAATAAAACATTTGTTAAAAGGGAACCAATCGTTAATTTTTTAGGAGTAATAATAGATGAGAATTTGTCATGGAAACCACATATAAAATATATAGAAAATAAAATATCAAGAAATATTTATATATTATATAAAACTAAATCATATCTTAACACCTCTTCTCTAAAAAAAATATATTCATAGTTTTATCTCTTACTGCAATATTGTATGGGGTAGTACTAACTATGGTAAGTTGAAAAAACTTCATAGTAAGCAAAAACATGCATGCAGGATTATATTTGGTGCCACAGAACTTTTCAATGTGAACCTCTTTTAAGGAAGCTCAATGCCCTAAGTGTCTATAAACTTAATATACACCAAGTTCTACAATTCATTTTAAAACTAAACATGAACTCTCTCCTATCGTATTTCAGTCTTACTTTAGTGAAATCTCGCATCCTACTAAATTTTCAATTCATAACTTTATTGTTTTAAAAACTAATTCAAAATTAAATTCTAACAAAATCTAATACCGCGGACCGTTTCTATGGAAACATTTTTCAAAATTTATCACAAAAAATAATAATGTTCATCACATCTCTTTGCAAAAATTTAGAAAAGAATCTAAGAATCTCTTATTACAAAAAGACTTTGATTTAAAATATCTCTTTTAAAAATAATACACAAATAATATAAATTATCTAAAAAAATAGTTATTGACACTTTCTCTTTTGTTGCAATTTTAATCTAATTTAATTTTTTGTTGAAAAACTTTAAAATTATTGTTAATCTTTGATATAATGCGTTTTTTAGTGTAAATTTTATGATGGGGCTTGATGATAAGACAATTTGTCTTCTGCTTGCTCAAGTTCTCTTATTAACACGATTTATTTCATTGTAAATTTTAATATATGACAAAACTCTTTGTTTAAAAAAAAAATATATATAAAAATTTATATATATATATATATATATATATATATATATATATATATATACATGTATATATATATACATGTATATATATAAATAATTTAAGAACATATTTTATTTTTTTGTTACAGCCTACTGTGTAAAAAGGTTTTGAAATAAGCTAGCAAGTTTAATTTACAAATGTTTGTAAACTTTTTTGGTGTACCAATAGTAAATTTCGTAACTTGTTTACAATAATGCAGTTAAAAAATAAAATTAAATGCTTACCTATTACTCGTTTTTGTAAAGTAGAAGCTAAGCATGTTTAGATTTTTGCTATTATAGATATATAAAGTTAAAAATATTTGAAATCTTACCTAGTTACTGTTTTTTTTTTAATTTTTATCCTTTTTTTTTTGACTCATTTTATTCAGAAGTTCATTTAATGGCTTTAAATAAAAGGCGTTAAATTTTGATTTCAAATCATGTTTTATATATCGTCGGTATACAAGGGAAATGCACTAAGTTCAAAAACATTATTTTGAGTTAATGAACTATTAAGTTTTTGCGTTATTGTTTAAGTAATAGGTTTTTGTGTCATAGTGGAAATAAAAAGTCTTAATAACTCATTAATCAGTGATTTATTAAATGTGGTGTATCAAACGATAGAGTGGTATATCAAACGAACGTGTGGTATATCAAACGATAGAGAAATAAAAATACTAAATAATGGTATAAATAACTTCATGCTGCCAAAAATGGAATAAGTACATTTCCCTTGTATAACGACGATATTACATATTATGGCACGTTTTAAAAAATACTAATTTTCCGAAGCGCTCCAAAAAATTGCGTCCGATTAAATATACAAAATAAACTCTAAATTAAATAAAAATCTAATAAACATTAAATAAAAAAAAATCTAGTTTTAATATACTTGTTATCATTAAACAAACATTTAATATATCATTTAATATTATAAATGACGTAGTATTGGGAATATTTACAAAAGAAAAACCAATTAAATTTTTACATAGGATAAAAACTTTATAATATCAACAAAGACATCGATATCGAGAAAAGTAGAAAACTGAATGCAAAATCGATTGCAAATCAAACATCGAAAATTCATAATATAAAAGAACGAGAAATATTTACACATGTAGTCATTCAACTGTCAAATAAACAAATCAAAACAATTTATTGTTAAACAATTTTAAAAAACGTTTGTTTGTGCATTTAGAAAATGTTATACATTCACAACCTTGTGAGAACAAGATTCTAATGCTTATGACTCAAAAGTGAATATTTTATAGAAAAAACATCAACCGACAACAAGTGGTTCATCATCCGAAAAGCGGTTGATCATGGGAGCGTCCTCACCTAAAATACACCAAATTAATTATATCAAAACTTTTAAAAATTACTTTTAACATTGTTAAGATTTATACTTTTAAAGTTATGACATGACAAAGACCATAAAAAAACTTTACCTGAACGAAAACCTACGGCCATATTATCGTCGTCATCAAATTCATCTTGGTGTGCATAACTTCCACGTGCTGCAAATGCCAAAAAGCTGCGTTGTAAACGTCTGTATTTGTATACCATGGCAATCAACCCAGAAAGAAGAGCAATAAGGACCAATGCTACTGGAATAGCCCATATAATAGTCTTTGAACCATAGAAAGTTTGATTTCCTGAATTGAATAAAAAGTATTTTCAAGAAAACGTAATTCTAAAAAAACAATGTGACACTCAGATAACAATATTTTAAGCAAAATAAAAATTATTTTAAAAAATAACAAAAATATGTTATTTTTTTGTTATTTTTTATTTTTTATACAAGCAAGTTTTTATACTCGACAAAAACAAAGATTACAATCAAAATAAAAGCAAAAAATAAAAATACAGTATAGAAAATTGCAGCAAAATCTTTGGAAATGACTATCCTATCTAACTTAAATTTCTCTGAAAAAGTAGGTTTGAATTTGATAAATGTTAATTTGAATATAAATGTTTATTTTTATAAGGAAAACCTAGCTATTTGCATTTTTGACAAAAAATTCTAACCTTGTCTTCTAGAAGGAACAATCACAGTACTATACATTTTGTAAAAAAATGGATCGGACGTAACATTGAAAGCTTTTCCATAAACATTTTCATACGCAATGAGGATAGAGCAGTTGTAAGTTAAGCTAGATATCCCGCCATTATTG